GCAGACAATATTGCTTTCCCCCACAAGTTCTGTGGTAAGCCTGAATTTAGTAACATGACATTCATCATTTGTTGTCTATGATGTGCTGGATTCAGAAATTTCAAATCATGATTCATAAATTTCAAATGAAAAATTCAAAATAATTATGACTATACAAATAAGAATTAAAGTTTTGACAAAATCATATCCTCATAAAAATTTTGCCTAAGAATCAAACAATTCAAAAAACCCAATTGATTGTATACATTCTTGCAACTCATTTACGAATAAATGTCACTATCTTAAAAATATTGGTGACAAAAGAAAATTAAAGTATCTCAACTAATGCAAGAGATATGCCCCCATATTAATAAAATGGTTCATGGTTTAACAAATTCTACTACGCAAGTAAAATAATTATTAATGACATCTCATGTCACATAATTCAAAATAAACTAAAAATCAACATAAAAGATTTCTTAAATTTACTTCCCAATTAAATGGAATGATATAACTACATACATCTTCATGTTTAAATTTCTCTGGTGTTTAAACACCCATTCAAAAATTTATTGGAAAAACTCAAATTAATCCGCTTATATATAAGGTCAACATATCAATTTATCATTCCAAATCACATGAAATTATTATTAAGAAATAACTTGAGTTGATGTCATGCATGCATATCAAACGCATCAACTAAAAAAAATAAATAAATTAACAAAATAAATTAATCATGCATGATCCCAAAACTTGCATCATGAAATAAAAAGATTTTCAACTCATAAATAAAATTCAATGCGTTTTGAATTTTAAACTCCAAAATGACAAAACATATATTCATTTAATCAGTTTGATTTGTACATAAATAAACTAATTAAATATGCATTCAAACGTTCTTGTGAATATATATATTTTCCGACTCATGGGCAGAAACTATTCACGACTACGGATCCACACACAGAAAATAAAGAATGATTCAGAAAAATAAAGAAAACAATCTTGCCACAAAGGTTTCTTCGTAATAAAAAAGAAATTAGTTTGTAAAACTAATATTTTATTCTAGAAACAAATTATACCATGTATACTCATAATGAACTATGATAAAGTCAAAAGAATTAACACCTTTTCACAAAAGGTTCAAAATTAAGTGATCTTCAAACGAAATCGTAAGTCACGTACAAAATTTATAGATTGTGACCGATACACAAAGTTACATGATTGATTAACAAAATTAATTTTCTAGTTACTAAAACCAGAAAATAAATTATAATACAAAATAATTTTATTTTCTATGTTACTAAAACTAGAAAATAAAATACCACAAATTAATTTTCTAGTTACTAAGACCAGGAAATAAATTATAACACAAAATAATTTTATTTTTCTTGTTACTAAAATTAGAAAATAAAATAATTTTATTTTTCTTGTTATTAAAACTAGAAAAATAAAATACCGAAATAATATCTGATTACAAAAATCAGAAAAAATACAAAAATAATTTTCTAGTTACCAAAACCAGAAAATAAATTTTAGTTACTAAAACCAGAAAATAAATGATAACAACAAAATAATTTTATTTTCCTTGTTACTAAAACTAGAAAAATAAAATTCGAAGATAATTTTCTGTAACACCAAATAATATTCTGCAATTGTTAATGACACCAGTATATTACTACTAGTTGTCAAAGAAAAGAGACAGTATATTACTACTATCTGTCAAATAGCATAAATGACTATTTGTTTTTCCAACCAGAATATTACTTTGAAAATACAGAAAATTAAATACAATGAAGATACCAAAAATATTCTGTCTTAAGATTGTTGGACAATCTTCACTGTATTTAAATAAATTAAATTCTATTGTGTACAAAACAACAACTAGAATATTAAGAAATAAAGAAAATGAGAGAATTTGTTTGATTACAAAAATCAAACTCGAAATAAAAATAAATAAATAAAAACAGATTTTATTTTGTTTACACAAACCAAAATTAAAATCTGATTTAAATAAATAATAACACTGAAAATAAATTAAATAACTTACTTGATTTAATTTCTTCGAATTATAATCTGATCAGTCCAGTGTTTGACACTATGTCCTTAAGACAGATTCGTCCTCTCCACGATGCTTTAAAAATTGGACGTCTATCTCCCAGGATGAAATGATTCTACTACAAACAATAGCAGCACTACAAATTGTTTGCCTTACGAACACACTAAGTGTTTACACTCTTTCTTTCAGAAAATAAATGCAGCAAAATGGCAGAGATTTATATCAGATGATGGAGTACGAAAATTGGAGCTAAATTCAAATGGGAGGCCTAGTCTATTTATAGATGTAAAGGTGGCTTTTGGTTTTGAATTGAACAGGTATGAAACCTGTTAGATTCAAATTTAAACAGATTTGAATCTGTTTATTCAAACAGATAGACCCGGGAAGGGCCCTGTTTGGGTGTGCACTAATTCCAAAACAGTTTATTTCTGTTTAAAAACGGGAAGGGCCCTGTTTGGATGAACAAATAATCCAAACCAATTTAATTTGAATTATGGATTTTATTTTAATAAAAAATAAAATTAAATTCAAATGTTTTTGGCCCAACCCAACCACGCACAAGCCCAGCCCAGCCCGCCCGACCGGCGGCGGCGGCGCGCGTGTGGTGTTTTTTTGGGTCCAATGGGTCTAGCCCATTTTGCCCATAACCTCTCCCTCTAAAACACTTGGGTACCCCTTGGGGCACACCCCAAGTATCTCACCCTAAGCCTTATAAACCCTTTCAAAACCTCTCACCAAATCAATGTGGGACAAGCCAATTTACAACCTTAAGGAATTTCCACCAAAACTCCATTTTCATGGAGCACACTTTGGCTTCAATTTCCCATTCACTCGGTAATGGTTTTGAGCAACCAAATATACCACGTGAATCACAACGCGGCATAGAACGCGTTACCACTTTGACCCGTGAAAATCGACGCACGGGGCCCACCTAAAAAATAGACTGAACTTAAGAAAAAATTCTGATTTTACCCAGAATTTATAACTATTTCCAACAGAATAATATTACATCTTCACTTATATTATAAGGAGTTAATTGTTACAATTAAAAATAAATGAATCAAAATGAGATTTTTATAATAAGAATGCCAAAGTGTTATTAACTCTTTTAAGTCAAATTATAATCATATTGGACATCAATAGGCTAATAAAAATTGATAGGAAGTAATTTTAATAGGAAGTAATTTCAACGTAACTTTAAACATACAAGAATTTGGTTGTCAAAATAAAAAATTGAGGGATCAAAAATAAATTTTGATAAAAGTAAGATGGTGTAAAGTGTAATCAATCCTTAATTGTTTGTCAAGGGGTTTCAGTTTTTGTCCCAGATTATTGTGAGAAATTTATTAATCATGCCTTCAAATTTTGTTTTTTGGGTTAGATTGGAAGCTAAAAATTGAGGTTTATCTCCAAATGCTAAATAGTTAATATGGCATACCAAAATTAAAGTTTAGCATGTTACAGTATAATCAAAATTAGGAAACTCTGCTTCAATAGAGAAAATGTTATTTATTATATTTTTTTTTAACAAAAGAATTAAACACAAATGGTATTTATGGGTCCTTTTAAGAGAGAGAAAGAAAACTCTTGTCAAATTTGACAATATGCTGAGCCTCGTGCCTATGGAACAAGGAATCTCAAAGTCAAAATTTAACACCTCAAATAGCAGTTGCTTTGGAACTCTCTCTTTTTGCCAAAACTACTGCATTATAGCAATGGCATTTTGTTATAACAATCATTAGAAATGCTCTTAAACATACAAATATTAATTTTCAAGCTTAGTAACTAAGGTTTCTTTAAGAAGATTTGTTATTAGGCATTGTGAAATTTAGCAGCCCAGAAAGAGTCGTCAAACTAAGGTTTTAAAAAGTGACTGCAGCCGTTACGTAACGGTTGTAATAGCTACCGCCACACATTACGATCGTTTTTGCAGTGTGATTGAGATTCACAGGTGTGTCAGCCGTAGCGGCTGCTGTAGCGGTCGTAATAGTGCTGTAATGGCTTGTTACGCACCGCTACGTAACGATTCCGAATTACTTCTTTTGAAAAAACACAAAAAAAAAGTTGAAAATAAGAAAAGAGAGATAGAGAGAAAATAGGGAAGATGAAGAACATATTATTGATTTGTTGAAGTTATAAAACCTATGCTATTCTATTTAGCTACTATCACTCAACCATTTTGTTTGTGTGTGTCTATTTATCTATATATTGTTTGATAATAATAATAATAATAATAATAATAATAAGTGTAGTCATTATCTATTTGGCTTGATTAAAATATATATATATATATATATTTAGGCTTTTATTTATTTTCTTACTTTTGTCATTGTTTATCTTATATATAATAGTTAGTGATTGATTTTTTGTATAATATAAAGTCATTAATTATTAAAATAAAATGTAAAAAACTCAGTTTATAGTGATTTAAAAATATGAAATATATTGAATCAAACTTAAAAATTTATAAAAATTAATAAATATTTATTTTAAAACCCAATAAATATGATCATGGAAAAAAATGTGCGTATCGATAAGTTTTTTTCACATTGTGCGGAAAAAAAAAAATTACGATTCCGGTTACCGCAATTGTTACGCTACGGCCTTTACACCCAGCAATCGTAATCGCGTCATCGCCACCGTTACGGCGACCGCAACCGCTTTTCAAAACCTTGCTTCAAACTCTTTTTAGTTAATATTGTCAACAATTGTTCATAAAAAAGTTTATAAAAAAAAAAAATTTAATGTCGCAAAATTTTTCATTAATTTGATTATTCTTTCTACATTTCACTTAAATGATATTTTCAGTAGAGGAAGCCATTTTTGATTTATTTGGATGTAGGAACCTATGATAGCATTTTATCTTATGGAGACATGGCAAGAAAATGATGAGGAGTCATGAATATATATATATATATATATATCAGTAATCGACTTTTTCTGTAGCCAAATCAAAGTAATAATATAAAGAGCTGATTTAATTTTTTTTTTTTTGATATATATAAATCACAAAGTAATTTTAATACAAAAGGAGATAAAGCTCAAAGATGAATTGTCTGAGGAAGTCTTGGTTGCAGCATTTTTCTCCACTTGAACAACTCTTACTCAGATCTATGTTAATATTCTGGTCCTGAAGATCTTTAGTATGGAGGTGGTGGCCACACTCCTGCACCTGAATATATACATATAATTATGATATAATAAGAAATTCCAAAAAGGGAATAGCAGAGATGCATAATATTTTTATCATAATTTAAAATTAAAAAAAAAATCATATATATAATAGAATCATTTAATTGTATGATTCATAAATTTTTTTTATCAAAAAAATCAAATTAATAAGATAATTGCAGTACATGATTTTATCAAATATTCATTTTCATAAAAATAAATGACAAGTATAATTAAAGATAAATCATTCAATTTTTATTGTATTAAAATCATCTGTGTGCGATTATCGTGCAATCATCGAATTAATCTGACTTTTTTTTCCTAATGATATACACCAGTTCAACAAAAACAAACAATTTAAATTATTATAGTGTGTCATGCAGTGGCTTAACAAAGAGTTTTTTTTTTTTTTTTTTTTAAACTAGGATGATGCATGAAAACAAGAAGTTAATAAGAATGGAAATATACCTGGTGGGTAACAGTTTGAGGCTTGGTGGGGCGGCAGCGGTGGGTATGGTGGAGCAGGGTAGGCTGCGGGGGCAAAAGGCTGGGGAGGACGGGCAGGTGGTGGTGGAGCATGAGGGTAGGGTGTGGATGATGGTGGATATGTCACTGCTGTATTATTATTATTATTATTATTATTAGGAGGGTAATTGGGGTAAAGAGATTGGGTTGCTGAATTAGGAGCGAACATTGAGTATGGAGGAGATGGGGTTGCAGATGCCTGAGTAGGGTATGTTGGGTAAGGAGATGGAGATGGTTGTACTGAACTTGGGGGTGGGGGGCACGCGGTGTACGGTGCAGCAGAGTAGGCGGTGGCGGTGGAGGGATATGGAGGAGCTGGTGGTGCGCCACCGTATGGGAGGACGGAGGAAAGAAGTGCATTGGGCTGTTGATATGGTTGTGATGGCGGCGGCGGAGCATACATTGGTGGTGGTGGTGTTGCGGAATGCTGGGCTTGAAATGCGGCGGTGGTGGACATTGGTGCACGAAACATGATCGGAGCTGTGTATGATATGATTTGATCTGTTGTCAAAAGGTAGCTATATAGATTAGAATGGTGGAACGAAATAGTGGAGGAACTTTCTTCCATTTGAGAGTTGACTTTTGAGCTCTTGTATTAACGTCCCTACCTCAATTATAAGGGTGTTTGGTAATTATTCTCAATTAATTAAAAATATGTTAGTATTATTTTTATTATAAAAATTTTCATTACATCATTTGTTAAAACTAGAAGAGGACGCTAACCACATAATAATAAAATTAAGAGAAAACATTTGTACCAAAAAAGAAAAAAATTATAATAACAAAAAATTTAATACGAAAGTAATACTAGCGTATGTGATCTTGTCCATACATGTAAAGTGATTATAGGATCAACAACCTGTTCAATTGAATAAATCTTATCATTTGGATCAATATACACTACAACAAATAGCAGAATTGGCGACTAAAGTTTCTTTTTTCGTCGCTGAAAGTAGTAGAATTGGCGACTAAAATGGAATTAGTCGCCAAAATTGGTCACTTTTGCCGACTAAAACAGTTTAGTCGCCGAATACAAGGTTTTTAGCGACTAAAAGGCACTTTAGTCGCCGAATCTGGGGGTTTTAGCGACTAAAGGTAGTTTAGTCGCCGAATGTGACAGTTTTTGGCTACTAAAATAATTTAGTCGCCAAAAGTGATGGTTTTGGCGACTAAAAAACAGATTGGTCACCGATTGTAGGTGTTTTGCCGACTAAAAACATATTGGTCGCTGAAAGTGAAGCTTTTTGGCTACCAAAAAAAAATTAGTAGCTAAAAACTGAGTATTGGCGACTAAAATTCAGTTTAGTAGCCAAAAGGTGACGTTTTTGACGACTAAAAAACTGCATATTTTTAATTGGAACTAATTTTTTTAGCGACAAAAAAATCATTAGTAGCCCAAAATAATAGAATTGGCGACCAAATAATGGCGACTAAAATTAGTCGTCGCCAAAAGTGTTGCTTTGGGCGACTAATCACTTTGGTCGGCGATTCATGGCTATCAGCGACTAAAATATTAGTCGCTGAATGTATAATTTCCGAAAGTGTAATTCACTATTGGCGACCATCACTTTCATCGCTGAAACACCTGTTTTTGCCGACTAAAACTTGTTTAGTCGCCAATACCTCTGCCGACTAAGTACTGGCGACAAAATGGGCGACTAAAAAATTTAGTCGCTGAATCTGAAAAATCCACTTTTGGCGACTATTTTTAGTCGCCAAAGGTGATTTTTGTTGTAGTAATAATTTAGATTAATAGTCAAATAAAGTAATCAAGTTTTTATTTTATTATTTAAAAAAAAAATTGTAACATAGTTGATGCAACCACTCATATGATGAAAGTGCTAATCAAGCACATATTTTTTTTTTGTTGATAATTCAGGATGTTCGGTTCAGCTTGCGTGCACCTCGACTAATTCTTAGGGGACCAATCCCACAGTCCACTAACGGGGGGCAGCAAATTGCGTGCACCTCGACTAATTCCTAGGGGACCAATCCCACAGTCCACTAGCGGGGGGCAGCAAATTGCGTGCACCTCGACTAATCCTTGCGTGCACCTCGACTAATCCCTAGGGGACCAATCCCACTGTCTATTAGCGGGGGGCAACAAAGCTCTGTCTAGACTGGCCCAACACAAGAGTTAATAGCACCTAAGAGGTTTTGAACCTGAGACCTAGAGAGGAGCAAACTCCTAAGTCCCAAACCTCCACCACTAGACCAACCTTTGGGGGTTCTAATCAAGCACATATTGAGTGCAACAATAATAGCAAATAATTTTTAAAAGTGAACATTCTCTTTTTTTCATACATAAATTTACAACTTTTGGTCGCATATGTAATTGGGTGTGAATTCCAATCCCATTTGATCAATTTCATTAGTTTGTGACATTACGCGTAATAATTACATCCATTTAGTCTTAATTTGTATTAGGAAAAAGTTAAGGATCATGAATTTTTTTTATGAATATGATTATAAAAAATTTATGATCCTTAAATTATCTTGATTAGTATATGATATTTTATTCTAAATATAATTTAAGTTTCATAAAATTTTTATAATTTTTTTTATAATTTTTTTTCCCATAATACCTAACATGCCTGTTTATATGATGGGCAGCCCTAGTAAGGTTCTACCATTCACATTGTAGAAGGTCAATGGCTATTTTGTCAAAAAGAATTGCAGATCAGCTTTGACTTCAAACTTTGAGACAAGTGGTATAGATACAATCCAACTACACATATACGGCTAAAAATTCTGGCCTCCAGCTGTATCGACACGTAGAAATTTTTTAGGGGAGTTAATATACAGCCGACAAGACTAAAAATAATTATAAAAAGTTGAAAGTATAACTTTCACCCCAAAAAAAAAAAATATGGATATATTTGATTTGTGTTTTGAGATAAATTTTTAAAAATATTTTTAGAGAGAGAGTTTATAGTTTTTTTTTTGTTTGTTTAGTTGTATATTTTGAAAATAATTTTGAAGTTTGAGAGTTTGAAATGATTTGATATTTTGTTATAATTGAGTAGATATGTATGAGAAAAAAAGTAATTGAGAAACAGAGAAGAAAGAGAAAAATTGATTAATTGATGTGTAATATAGAGAGAAGTAATTTTAAAATTTTTTTAAGAAAATTTATAACCAAACATATTTTTAGAAATTTTTTTTCAAAAATGTGTTTCGAAACACAATCCAAACACATCTTATATCTTGCACGAACCAAACCAAACACAAACCACTTTTTTTGTAATTGTTTTCTCCACCTTCCACATTCAAATAATTCCCTCGAAATTGAATCATATCCAAACCTTCAAACAATATCGTAGATCTTTCTCAACATGAATTTGGATACACTCATATTGCTTGTGGGAAGTAGCCCTTCCTAAAGGCATGTGTGGCTAGTGGCTAGAAAATATTGGTTAGTATTTTATTCAAAAACTTGATTAGAATTTATGTAAAAGAAATTATACTTATCAATATCTACCATCCATTTTAAATAAATCTCTAAATTTAAATCACAAATAAAGAAGAATTATAATATATTTATACTATATTTCAATAAAAAATATATTAGATACATGGAGTTTTACAATTGCTCTTGAGACTCACTTATAAGGGCATGTTTGATTGGATTTCTTGCGAAACAAAAGTTAAAACTAAAAGTACTAATTCCCCCTCTTCCCAATATCAATTTTAATAAATAAATAAAATTATGTAAACTATTTCTACATAGAAAATTGCAAGTAGAAATTACTTATTTAAAAAAGAAGAAGAAAAGAAATACAACTCAATTTCTGGAACTATGAAAACTAATTTGGTTCTCTTGAATTAAAGCAAACTGATCCAATAACACTCTTTAATTTTGGTGTGTTAGAAAAATTTGGATAAATTACCAATAGGTCCTAATAGTTAGACTTAATTTCTATCAAGTCTTGTTGAAAATAAGTTCTAGTAAAATCATCGTTAAAAATAAATTTTTGTGATGATTTTTTACATATGTCGCTAAAAGTTGACAATTAGTGATTTTTTTTTATCACGGTTTTTATAAATTGTTACTAAAATTTACAGTTAGTGATATTTTTCTATAATAATTTTTTTTAAATTGTTGCTGAAAATTAAAAATTAGTGACATTTTTTTATAATGATTTTTTAAAATTGTCATCAAAACTTATAATTAGTGACATTTTTTGTGACAATTAAATTGTCACTGAAAATTAAAAATTAATGACACTTTTTAATAATATTTGATGAAAAATATTATTAATTATCATAAAATTTATTAAATGATAAATTCACCTATTAAAATCTATCCGTAAGTCTTAGGGGTGAGCAGCGGATATACCGATCCACCAAAACCGACCGAACTGAACCGATCTGTCGCATTTTGGACGATGCGTGATGACGAGCGGACGGTTGCGGATTGATTTTCTTTAATCTACCAATTTGGCGAACGGATGGCGGATTTAAGATTCCTTTGGCCGCAACCAAACCGCCAAACCGTGAGCACCCTTAGTAGTTTATAAGACTTTGTGTTTTCAATTTGTTTAAATATTTTGTTTGTATTTTCAATTGAAAAAGAGTTCAAATATTCTGTTGAAAAAAAGTTTTTAACTTAAATATATTTTTTGAATTGAAAAAAATAAACGTATTATTTATCTACATTTTTTGGTTTTTAAATATAACTCTAAAAATAATAAAGAGAAAATATGATATATGGTGGTTAGTTTTTGTTTTCAAAAACATGTATAAATGTAACAACACAGAGACATACAATCTCTACTATTGCTCTGTTCATGGTTTTGGTGGTTTGAATTGTTTTTATATTTTAAGAACAACAAATGGTAATACTTTATGTGGATGAGGCATGCTGTGATTGTAATATGTGGATGAGGCATGCAGTGATTGTGATATTCTAAAATTTCAAACTTTCTTTCTTTGGATGAGGCATGCAGTAATTGTAATACTTTTTTAAGTCATTGACTGTAATCTTCTTTTTTTTTTTTCTTTTTTTTTTGAGAGAGTGCACAAATTGAACTATGTTGAAAATTTATAAAATTTCAAACTGCCAAACCGATTCGCATCCATCTGCCAAACCGTTAATCCGCTCAATCCGCATCCGCCGGATTGACGGACGGATGCGAATTGATTTTCTTCAATCTGCCAATTTAAGGGATGGATGGCGAATTGGAGGTTCCGTGGCCACAACCGACCCGCGCCCACCCTAGTAAGTCCCTTATAAATTTATCAATACATCAGCAGAAATAATAGAACGCCCTTGATTGATTGGGCCTTAACGTAGAAGAACAGATCCTTTTAAGGAATGCAGCCCATTTGAAACGCCATGACCACTCTCTAGATTGGGCTTATCCAAGGCCGAAAAGCTTCTACTCCTAAAGGGTATGTTCAGCGGATATTTTGATCCGTTTAAATCAAACTGATCCACTATGTTTTAGACAAATGTGTGATGACGAGTGAATAGTTATGGATTAATTTTTTTTAATCCATCTAGTTTTGAAGAAATAATGGATTTAAGATTCCTTTGGTCGTAACTGAACCATCAAACTGCAAGTACCCTAATAATTTATAAGAGTTTGTGTTTTTAATTTGTTTAGATATTCTGTTTGTATTTTCAATTAATTTTTTTTTATATATTTTATTATATTTTCAATTTAGAAATCCTTTTATTTAATGGCAAGTGTTGATATTTGATATTTTTGTGTGGAAAATATAAGACTTAATTTTGTCATTCTAAATAAAAAATCAAATTAAATAGTTTTTGAATGAAAAACAAAGTAATGAAATAATTTTGATAATACATGATTTTATTATATATATTTATTATTGGTATTTGACAATCTTTTGGTTATGTTGAGTTAGATTATTATCTAAAAAAATATCGACAAGTTGTATTATGTTCAAAATTTATAAAAATTTAAATCGTTAAATTAACTTGCATTCATCTGTTAATCCGCTTAATCCGTATTTACCAATCTAAGCGGATGAATATAGAATTTTTTTTCAATTCACCAATCTTACAAACAAATGATAGATTCATGAGTGGTTTGAGATATTCTAAATAACTATATTTTTTAATTTTTTATAAAAAAAATGTATAAAAAAAGTAAGAAAATAAAAAAGTGAGTAAAAAATAAAAAAAAAATATAGATAAATATTAATTAATGTAATCAAAATAAATATATATATAAAAAAATATACTCCTTCCGTCCCATAATATTAGTCCCTTATTCCATTTTTCATTGTCCCAAAATATTAGTCCCTCTTCAAAAATCAAGTACAAAAATAATATAAATTTCCCATTTTGCCCTTCTTTTAAATTCATAAATAATATAAAAAGTACAATTATGACATTGATATTCTCAAAAAAGTGTACTATCAAAGGGTAATTTTGGAAAATCAACTTTTTAAAAGTACAATAATTGTACTATCAAAAAAAGTTAGATTCCCCAAAAGGAACCATTATTTTAAGACGGAGGGAGTATATTTATTTAATACATACCAAACACCTATTAAAAAAATTTCGGCCACCACCTAACCGCGAGCCCCTAACTCCATTACATTTTTTCAACGTCACGACCGTTCCCTCTCCTTGTGAATTCCAATAAAATAAACAAACAGTGTTTACAAACAAAAAAACGAGAGGCCGACAAATCTCTCTCTTCTGCCATTCCAACAAGAATCTGGAAGAGAGACAAAATAAATAAATAAAATATGAATCTCGGTGGCGGTTCCGGCGACGATCCGTCGTCGTCGTCGGTGTCGCAGTGGAGCTACTCCGTGTCACGGCGGTACCAACACCTCCTGGACAAGTCGACGCCTCTCGTCTACCACCGTTGGATCGGCTTCGTCTTGGTGGCGTTGATCTACTCTATCCGCGTCTTCCTCCTTCAAGGCTACTACATAATCACCTATGGCCTCGGCATCTACATCCTCCAGCTCTTCATCCTCTTCCTCTCCCCTCAGGTCGATCCCGAGATCCAAGATCTCTCCGATGGCCCCTCCCTCCCCACTCGCGGATCTGACGAGTTTCGTCCCTTCGTTCGCCGCCTTCCTGAGTTCAAGTTCTGGTTCGTTCTCTCTCTCTCTCTCTCTCTCTTCTTTTCAATTCATGATGTTTGTATTGGAGAATGAACCTATAAATGATTTTTTGATCAAATTGGGGAACAGTTTGTGTGAGATCTTCATAAATTTTGTGTCTGCATTGGGTTTAGATTTAGGGGCGTCTTCTGGTAAAAGACGTGGCTTTTATCAATTTGGACCTGTCCTTTTTCAGATTTTAAAATGTTCTGTATGAGAGGTGAATGATGTTTGTCGGCTGTCAATTACAAGTGAAAATAAAAATTGAAATTAGGGTTCCGAAATTGATAGGTCTATTCCTATTGATTGGAATAGGACACTTGGTGTGGCTGATGTAATGCGCTCTAGAGATTGATCAAATATGGATGGAAAAATAAAGAGTGACAATGCTTTCCAAGCAATTGAATGATTTATAATGGTGATAGATCTCAATGTCATAGGAGTATTTTCTACCGTTTGTTTGCAAGCCTCCACGTTGCGGTGCATTATGGAATTTCAAAGCTATATCCTTTCCATTAATTTTTTTTCTAATTTCTTTATCTCATAAACATCATATTCTTTTTATCACTCTCAGAACCATCTTATGGAACTATCCTTAGGAAATCTTTTGGTGTTGTTTGGAGGCAAGAAGTGGGTTTTACTCCAGTCCATTAAGTTGTGTTGGGTTTGTGGAGCCTGCTTAATACGAATTACTTTTGAATGCTAAGGGCATTATGATAATCTATTGATATGAACCCTAATATATATGTATATATATATATATTGAAGTCTACCCAAGTAGCCACATTGTACTCTTTTGGTCTTTCAATATAGTGGAATTGATGTGAACAATGGACATAGGGAATCTTGCCAAACCATGTATATATGTGTGTCATGCTTTTCTTGTTTATGATTGATTTGTTTTGCTATTGTGTGTGTATGTGTGTGGTTTATTCTGCAACAAGCTGAGCCTTAGTTTGGTAAATAAAATTTTCAACAAGTTCTAGTTTTTTGCCTCCTCATTTTAGACAAAAGTTGGGCCATAGTCGAAACGAGGTGGATTTGAATTGAAATGAAACTGATCTACTATTTAGAAATTCCCATTTCTATCTATGCTGGAAGTTTTTTTTTTTTATTTATTTAAATTATATATATATGTATAAATTTGTCAATTGGACCTCTAGGTCATTTGCTTACCCAGTATGCAGTACCTGCCAGTAGTTTTCAAGATTTAAAATTTAAGGCGTACTGCATGAAAGGTGAATCATATTTGTTGGCTGTCAATCAGAATTGAAAACAAAATTTGAAACTATTACTCAGAAATTGTAAGCTAGTTGCTACCAATTTGTACATTTGATGTGGTATGTGTCAATACTAGATGATTAAGCAGGGAAAAAAGTGACATTGAAATTCAATGTCTAGTTCACAATTTGATTTTAAAGATAATGCAGACTTGAAACTATGTTAAATTAACTATATAGGATCTTAAGTTGAAATTAAATAATTTTAGATTAAAGATAATTAGAAAAAAAAATTAATCACACTGTGAAAAAAATGATAAATAAACTACAAACTGATATAGTGAACCTTAAATTCATCCTAACTTGATATTAGCTGCTGTAATGTACCCATTAAGCCATTGAATGATATGTGGTCAAACATCTCTAAGTCAAAGGGTTCTTTAATCTATGTCTTTGTAGCCTTCATTTATGAGTGTGCAGGGTGGAGCCAGCTATGGACTTCAAAGATATTAATCCTTTCTTTTGATAGGACTTAAGGCTTGGTTTGGTTTGGTTTATTTGTATTACTTGAGTGCCTCTATTGAAAATTATCCTTGTTAAAACCTTTTAGCTGTATTTGCATCACACTTGAGACCAACTTCAGAAATACCTCAAGAAACCTTTTAAGATGTGATGTTATCTTCAATGTGCATGTGCATCTTATAAAAGTACATCCGTCTACCATGCACTTTAGTCATTTGTTGTTATTTTTGGTCTCATGTTCATGAGAAGATTTTGTGTGTGGTGTGCAAAACATATCACTTTTCTATTGATTATAGGATGAACTCAAAGTAGATTGTTTTTCTAGGATGCATGGATTAATCACTTCACATTGGGTACAATCCTTTTCTAAGGTGGTTCATGAAAGTATGTTCCAATAATTTTTCTTAGGTAGATTCATTCAAGTTTTAATTTCCCGACACCGAAGAAGTACGAACAAACCTAAGAAGCACAGACACTTCTAAGAAGGTAACGTATCGATGCTGTGGCCGTGTCCGTGTCGGACACTGACACTCTTTGGACACTTCCTAAAACGTGTCCGACACTCTTCAAAATGTGTCATATATTTTAAAGACAGGGACACTCTTTGGACACTTGGAGGACACACCTTAGTTACACGAAGCGGGAGCAAGGGTGGGAGCGGGAACGAGGAAGCGTGAGCCGATAGAAGTTTCTTAAGTTGGGAGTGCCTCGGAGAGCGGTAAGATATATATATATATATATTTTAATACACATTAGAATTTTTTTTATAAATATTTTTATTTTAATACACATTAAATATTTTATTTATTTATTTATTATATTTTTTAAATAATGTATTATTGTTAATTTTTTTTTATTTTTAATTGATATATATTATAAATAAAAAATTATAATAAATAAGGAATAATAAATTATGTTAAAATAAACAAAAAGAAAAATTAGATATTTTATTTTTTAATTTTTTAATTATATATGATTTTATTTTTTAATTCTATATGTTAATGTTTAGGATATTGAGAATATTAAAAATATAAAAAAAATAAATAAAAGATGTAAATGGTTTTTTTATTACTAAAAACAAAAAAAAAGTTAAAAAAAATAAAATAAAGAATAAAAGAGGGAGAGAGAGACAGCAACGAAGAAGGAAGAGAGAGGACTCGAATAGAGGGGAGGAACAAGAGAGACAAACAGAGAGAGAGGAGGCAAAGACGAAAATGAACACAGAGAGCGAGAGAGAGAGATACGAAGGACGAAGGAGACGACGACGAAGAGCATCGAGCAGAAGGAGAGAGAGAGTCAAAGAAGATAAACAGGTTCGACTTCGACAATGACCAGAGGGAGAGAGATAGTCGAACACACATAGATTGGAAGAACATACCTTGATCTAGTCTTGATTAGGGCTTCAATAGGTTTTTTCCCTTTCCCTTTCCCTTTCCCTTTCTCTTTCTCTGTCTTCAATGGATTAGGGTTTCTGTCTGTTTTCTCTTTCTCTGTTTTCAATGGGTTAGGGCTTCTCTCTGTCTGGGTTTCTGAGTTATTTTATTTTCACCAACGATCCCATCTTGGACAGGATCGCGTTTCTCTCTCTACAGAAACGCGATTCTTACACGTTTCTTTCTAAGAAACGCGGAATCGCGTTTCTTACGAAGATTCGTCACCTGGTTGCACGATTCCTGCAACTAAGGGACACACGTGTGTATCTCTTAAACACATGTGTGTATCGATTAGACACATGTGAAACTAATTATAAGTTTGAACAAAATAACTTAAGATGCAAACAAAAATTATATAAATTTATAGGGATTAGTGTCATATTGTATTTTTTTATTATCTTTAAATGATATATTCATATATATAATATATAATAAATATATAAAATTATATATTTCATGCATGTTCTCCACGTGTCGTATCCTGTATTTTTTTAAAATTAGCGTGTTGGCGCATCTGTGTCGTATCTGTGTTGTGTCACGTGTCTGTATCCATACTTCTTAGCCCAACACCCTAAATTAACAAGGACTAACTTTGGGTACTGTCCTTTTTCCATTTCTTATTGAAGATTGTTTATACCTTTATATATGTGTGTGTGTGTGTGTATCCTCTAACCATGTATGCTGGGTAGAGGAATTGGTTGACTCATATTTCAATGCAGTCCTTGAAATCCTATTCAATGCTTTAGTTCTTAGTTGCACGAAGCGGGAGCGGGAGCGGGAGCGAGAGCGGGAGCGGGGGAACGTGGCCACTTAGAGGAGTCGTAAATTAGGAGCGTTTATGTATTATTTTTATTAATTATATTTTATTTATTATAATGAATAATAAATTATGTTAAAATAAACAAAAAGAAAAATTAGATATTTTATTTTTTAATTTTTTAATTATATATGATTTTATTTTTTAATTCTATATGTTAATGTTTAGGATATTGAGAATATTAAAAATATAAAAAAATAAATAAAAGATGTAAAATAAAAATTATATTGTTTATGATAAATTATATTATAATTTATAATTTATAAATTATATTTTATATATATATATATTATATATATGATAAATTGTATTATATAAAATGAAAACGGAGAGGGAAAGAAAGAGAGAGAGAGAGAGAGAGAGAGAATAGATCGAGAGAGGGAGAAAAAAGACACGCAACAGAGGCGAAGAAAGAGAAGCAGAGACGAAGAGGAGATCGAGAGTGAGAGAAACGAGAGAGAGAGAGAGACGAAGACCTAGGGCTTCGAAGAGAGGGACGAAGACTAGGGCTTCGACGGGGAAGTCAAACGGCGAGATCGAAGTCGTCAAACGGCGAGATCGAAGCCTGCGACCAGGTTCTCTCCTTGCCCTCTCAATAGTGCTCCCTTCCCGCATCAGATTCGTGTTTCCCTCTCCTCAGATTCACGATTCTGATGCGATCCTTCCTCAGAAGCGCAAAATCGCGCTTTTTCCTCAGAGTCGTCGCCATCTGAGACGATTCCTGCTACTAAGCTTTAGTTTACCTAGTGATTTTGGGTGTATTCTATGTCTGCATTGGAGAGTGATTCTTATTATTTGAGGGGCCTTCAAATGGAATGCTTTTGTAGTCATCACAATGCCATTTTTAAACTTAGAAACATAGTGTTATGAGGACATATATCCACCAATTAAGTGCATGACTAAATTCTTCAAAGGCTTACTAAACACTCTTTGTCATTTTTCCATGGCCTTTCTACCATCCATGGTTAGAATTGCTGATGTGATATGTAAGCTTGTCTCTCCATGAACAAAGGAACCTTTGGCTAAGCACCTTAGGATAGGAGATGGAAGTTGATTTGCTGAAGCACTTAAATAGATCATTTTGTCGACGCACTATAGAGAAAAAATTCTCACATTTATATGTTTCTTGGTTATTTAGTATCATTGTTATTTTTATTTCTACCATTATTACTCTTATTATTGCAAATGTTTTCTTCTCAGTTATAAAAGATGGTGAGGAGAAAAGTATCTGCAAAGAGGCTTCTTGATCAGGTTATATGTGAAGGGCAATGTCTCATCACATGTACCTATCAATGTAACCAGTATATTGTAGGCCATTCAGTTATATTATAGATATGTATGTGTCTTGTATTACTTGAGCAGAGTGCTATTGTTCATTTGTGACAGATATAGATCAATTTTATGATGGCAACACCATGAGTCATGAGTATTGGGAGACGACCCATACTCATGAGTATTGGGAGACTACTATGAGACTTTAATATCTCCTAATATATTGGATGACATTAATGGACCTCTCACACTATATGTTCATACTGTTATGCCATCTTTCTCACAAGTATCAATATCATAAGGGTGGCACATGTTTATGCGTGTGTGTGTCTATCTAGATATATCTGTATAGATAAGAAGAATCTTGAGGAAGCTCAGTAATCCTGTTGTTGTGGAGGTTTGTAAAACTTTGCCACTACTTTTGCAAAGTCCATTTTAATTGATGAAAGCTATATACATATACGTAGCACGTAAGGTTTGCTTCGCGGCTATACAATAAAGGATGATAGTCTAAATTTAGTTTGCAGTTTGTTTATCTGTGAATTAGAGTACCTGGTATTTGTTTTATTGCTGCATTAATTTAGGGTTGTTAAAGGTTTTGTTAATCACACACAAATATCTATTGTTTATTGTTTTCATTCTAAAGTTTACTTTTGTGAAGAGTGTTTCTTTTTTCCTTAAATCTTGTTTTGTTGAAGGAAGTTGCTCTTCATGTTGTTCTTTCCCAATGCAGAGCCGCTTATTAGTTGCAATTCTTGTGAATGATAGTTTTGAGTTTGTCAAGTGGTATGGATTTCCATCTTTTTACTTCTCATGGCAGGTATTCCGTAACAAAAGCCTTCTGCTTTGCCTTCGTGCTCACATTCTTCAGTGCATTTGACGTGCCTGTATTTTGGCCAATTCTATTGTTCTATTGGGTGGTGCTGTTTGTTTCAACAATGAAGAGGCAGATAATGCACATGGTCAAATACAAATATGTCCCCTTCTCCTTTGGCAAGCAGGTATTTTGGAAGTTCTTCCACAGTAATTATTTATTTGTTATGAAAATCATTTTATCTTTGCAGTTTTCATTATGTCCTAGAGACTTCTGAAGAAATTTGACCCGTTTTAAATTTTTTATTCTATTTTCTCCCCATTTTTTCAGCGGTACGTTGGAAAGAAAGTAGCTTCAACTGATGATACTGACAATGTTGCAGCATAAGGCTTCAGGTAGATCGAACCACTTAATGCTGGAAACACATTTAAGTCAGGAGTTTGTTTAAAGAATTATATTTTTTTCAAGCTGAGAGGGTCTCTAAAGATGTGCAGAAGCAATTAATCTGAGATATGTGTACGCAAATTTTCAGCTTTATTTTGAAAATGCTCCTTGGGTTCTTTTGAGGATGATGAGGAGAGAGGGTTTCCCAATGCCCGATACTTTATTAACTTCTTTTCCATTTGGGCTGGGAAAAAAGTAGCCTAATTTTCTGGCAAATGCTGATAGCATGAATTGCCCTGTGCAGTGTACCAACTATAGAGATCCTAATGCAAATCTTTTTTCCCTCCTATTTATTTGCTTCTACACCCTTTTTTTGGCGTGTGGCCTTTCTTATAGAAGGTTGAGTTCAGCTACCATTTACATTCTATCTATAATATAATGTTCTGTTAAAATTTAATTAGGTTTTTAACTGGCTAGGCCTTTTGGTTCATGCCTTTCAATTCAAGGCACTGCATTCTTTTTTGTTTGTTATACATGTTTGTTACAGGTGTTTTATCAGTGTTCCTGCTCCTGCCCTAATCCTTTTTGATGCACTGCAAAACGGGTATTGAGAATGTTTAGACATATGATGTTCGCTAAATGATTGGTTGGGAACGAAGGACATGGTTCCCACGTGTCTGGTGGTAAATGAGGCGATGCTGTGGAGCAAGAAAAATGCAGGGTATATCGCAACGGAGATGCGAGGGGGTTTTTTTGTGGATGCAGATGGCAGATAAACTTTTTTTTTTTGCCACGGTAGGATCTTAGTAGGCTAGTAGAGTTAGATTACTACAACAGGTTGATGCCATTTGATTGACTCGTACTTGAAATCTCACTTTATTAAGATGGATAGTATTTTTTATTTTATTATTTTTTTGAGGTGCCACAAGGTAGGATGTTTGTAGGATTGTAGAGTTGGATTACTACTCCAAGCCGACGCCCTTGATTGATTCAAACTTGAAATCTCACTTCATTAACACCTAAGTACCCCTCACGATCACTTGAGGTACAGGCTGGGTAGCATGGATGACCCTAACAGATGAGATTCATGTAGGAATGAAAATGCACCCAGCAATGAGAGGTTGGTATTAGAACGTTTTTTCTATCTCAAGAGATAAGAAGGAAAGGAAGGGAGGGGCCCTGGCATGGATATCCCTTTAGCAAAGTGTGCGGTGCCATTTTGCCCTGCTATTTTGTAGCTGTCAAGTCTCTTTAGTTGCCTCCATTGTGGGGTGCATTAAGCTCAACTTGTGGTTTGGAATCTGGGCAAATACCCTATAATGTTTGTTAATAGTACTATTTTTTTATGGTTTAATTGTTATTAGGAAAGTTTCTTGGCTGGGCTTCCATTTTAGGACTCTTGTTAGCTAGGATTTCAGATAAAGATATATACCCTTTTATTGTGTTGTGAATCTTGGAATTAGATATTATGATTTTACGGCTAAACTGCCAAATGGTTATGCCATGGATTAGTGAGTCTCTAGGTAAAATTAGTATGGTGGTTGCTACTTTGTTGACATCAACATTTAGGAAAATGTTATTATGCACATGGTTTATCGTAAGAAAATTATGATTATTTATTTTTTTCTTTTTTTCTTTTTTTTTGCGGTGAGAGTTACGAATGTATGTAATGTGTTAATATTTATGAATGATGAATCTATGGGGTGCATTCATAAAGTGAAAAGTTTTGATTTATTACCATTATATTATGAATGTTGTGATTATTTTATGACCGATGCGGTATAAATGTTAACCATTTGTGGTAAAAAAAATGTGACATCATCTTCTGGCATTTGTTATGGAACATTGTGATTGTGATTGTGATTATGTTACGTATATTGTGATAAGTTGTATATGATATGTTTATTTTTAAGGATGCACATTGGTCCCTCAACGTCTGACTTGTGTAATGGAATGAATTCTGACAACTATTTGTTCATGTTGTGTTTGAATTTTGAATTTGTAAAGAGAAGAAAAAGGAAAGAGAAAAGATGAAGTAAAATTTAATGTTTTACTCTTTTTTTGTTAGGTTAGGAAAATGAGAAGAAAATTAATGTGTCTAAAAATCCATAAGAAAAACGGATAGAGAGAGAACTAAATATATATTTATCTGAAAATTTAATGAATAACCATAACAACTCAGATTCATTGGATGAGCATTCAACTTGAATTTGGATTTTGAATTTAAAATAGATTTTTAAATGGGAAAAAAAAAAGTAATGAAATAAAAAATAAATTTTGTCACTTACTTTTTCTGTTTCTCTCTCTTCTTTTTTTTTTTTTTCCTTTCTTTTTATTTTAGTAGCCTTTTTTTTTCCTTTCTATTTTTTTGGTATGCTTATTTTTTTTTTTTTATAAAAAAAATCAAATTTTATTAAAATCTTGTGGGTACTGTTTTTATTAATTTTAAACATATATTAATTTTTTTAATTTTTTTATACATATATTAAATAAATAAAATTCTTTATATTGAACGTATCCTCAGCGTGTCGTATCCCCTGTTTTTTGAAAATTTACGTGTCCGCGTATCCATATCTTGTCCGTGTCCGTGCGTCATTGCTTCCCTCAATTATATTTTCCATTTTTTTCCATCACTCCTTATAACTTATACACAATACTGACAATGAGATGAACTGCTGAAAAGCAGGAGACCTGCTCTGATACCAATTGAAAAATCTAGAAATCCCCTAGATGTTGATTTGTGATTATGTATCAATTTTAAGCAGTATATAACAATCCCAATCAAACAATCAAGACAAATAGACACAACGATTTTAACGTGAAAAAATCACAATTGGAGCACCTCAAACTATGATAAAAAACCACGGGCAACAGCCACAAAACAATCCACTAAGAAGATATAAAGGAATTACACAGGTATACTCTCAATTACCTAGCGAATTCACGCCCGAATTGAACCAACCCCTATGTGTCTCTTCCAACCCCATCATCACCTCAGAATTTTCTTTACGATGAGCCACTCCAGAATCCACCAAAACTTCCGACTCAAATTCTTCAGAATCCATCGAAAAACAACTCGCTCTTTTGTATAGAAAGAACAAACGAACCTTTGATGTATGCTTCTTAAACCATGAGTTGAATACTCAATGAAACATCAAAGAAAACTAGCAAAATATCCCCAAATATAAACCCTAGAACCCAAGAAGAAGATCTGGAGAAGTTATCCTAGATTTGGACTGAAACACGTATTTATAGAAAACTATCCCGCGATCTCTGCTCGAGCGTCGGATTGGCCGCTCGAGGGGACCTACGCTCGAGCGGGAAAAAACAACATCTAGTATTTTTGCAAGCGAACAAACTTCTGAAACCCAGCATTCTCCGCTCGAGCGGGGGAATGTCCGCTCGAGCGGACAGGCAACTTGGAATGCATTTTTGCATTTTGCTTCGAGGGCGCTACCCCTCGACCCCGCCTAGGCGCTGCCCCGGACCCGCCAAGGGACGCTGTCCCCTGGACTCCCGTGAGCTGACCGGGCAGCTCGATCATCATCATAATCAGCGAAATGGCAATCTTGAAAGCATTAACATCACAAACTTTTCTGCAAGACACAATTCGGGTTGGATTCACATCTAAACACTCATAGTCTCACTAAAATAAAAAAGTGTGAAAATAAGTACAACTGAAAGAAGTTTTGTCAAATGGGATTGCCAAGAATAAAAACTTAACAGGCCGTAAGACCTCAACTGGAGGATGGTTTGTATCTGAGGGTGAGTTGTTCTTACTCACGATGATGGTTCTTGTTCCTTTTATGATATTGCCAACTGTGATGGTTCTAGATGTATGCAAAATGAAATTCACTGCAACTATATGGTCACTTAGTTAATCCTGTCGCAAAATTAGGAGAAGCTCTTTTAGCTTGAAATATGGTAGTTGAGTTAATTTTTTTGTTTACTTGGTGTGTAGTGATAATTTGGTTGAGGAAGCTGCAAGTGGTGGATCTGCTGGCAAATCTTTTAGAGAGAGAGAGATAAGGAAGGATTTTCTACATCGGCGGTACCTTTGCAAACATTTCTTTAATGCTCCACTTTAAGGGTTTGAGATTGTTAGTTTTAGTTCTTTCTTTAGGTTTGTTATTCAAAGTGGGATTGTACAATAAATGAGCAAATGTCTATCTTGCAATTGAGGCATCCTGTGACCAAAACTGAACAATTAATTGTAAAAAATTCAATAAATCCAATTATGCAATCTGCTTTAGTTGCTCAAATCTAGATAAAATGGCTAAATTTTAAGTTCATAAAAGGAGGTGTGATTACATTTTCTCCTACTCAAATCTCGTGACATTGTTCTTGTTTTGCTCTTTTCTATTTAATTGTGATTACAACTTGCTAGTCTAGCCTCTCTCTCTCTCTCTCTCTCTCTCTCTAGACAATGGAAGGTGGACTCCCCATGCTCAACTGTCTGTTACAGCACACCCTCAGAAATCTATGTACATCCTCAGATTCTTCCACTTCCACAAAGTGGGTTTACGCAGTCTTCTGGAGGATCTTGCCGAGGAACTACCCTCCTCCAAAGTAAACAAATACAAAACTAAAACAGTCCAACATTTTAATTCCCCCCAAAACCAGACGTTCTTTTATCTGAATTCAATCAAAAAATGAAGCCTGAGTTCCTCCAAGATCATGTCTTGTTATGACTCTTTATCACATTGCTCTGTTTCAGGTGGGACTATGGAGGTGGCGCACTTGATCGCGCCAAGGGCAACAAAAGGAACTGGTAATATATTTACAAGAATTATGACAAACCCAATTGGATTTTGAGTTCAATTTGGGTCATTTTGAGTTCTGAGTTGGGTTTTTGTTTCAGGATTCTTGTTTGGGAAGATGGGTTTTGTGATTTTTACGAATGCGAAAGAGCTGGAAACGTAAAGGGAAGGTTTGGAGCTGATGTGTTCTTTAAAATGTCCCATGAGGTGTACAGTTATGGTGAAGGGTAATTCTGAATGCTTTTTTGTTTTTTGTTTTTTGTTTTTGTTTTTGTTTTTGTTTTTGCTTTTATTTTCGTTTTTGATGAGTGTAGTTTGCTTGTTAAATTTTGTGTGTGCAGAATGGTAGAATAGGGAAAGTTGCAGCAGATAATAGTCACAAATGGGTGTTTAAAGATAACTCATCTGAGAATGATTCTAGCTTCATCACCTCATGGAATGTGTCAATTGAGCCAGTAAGAGAATTCCATACTTTTTCAGAAGAAAATCTAGCTCTCTCTCTATCTCTCCCTCTCTTGATTCCTTGATTTCTTTATCACATGAACAGCAACCAAGGGCATGGCAATTTCAGTTCCATTCTGGAATTCAGGTTACAAATCTTTTCTCAGAATTACTCAGCTTCATTTCACAGTAAAAACTATCAACTTTTTTCCCCCTGTTTTACAGACAATAGCCCTCATTTCGGTTAGAGAAGGCATAATTCAACTCGGCTCATTTGATAAGGTCTCTTTCTATATGTAGTATACTTGCATTTGTGTGTGTATGTTCATATTCTGCAAAATCTTTTTTTGACGATTGATGTGTTTAACCTGGAAGCGGTTAAGCGAGTGGTGAACTTAGACGTCTTGAGTTTGACTCTCTCGCTGGTGTCTTCTGCCCGTGTCTGTAATTAGAAATATTAGGAGACAACGTATCAATAATGATACATATTAAAAATTAAGTGTCATGATCATGAACTTTTTAAAATCATTAAAAGTAAAAGAGAGTTTTATATCAGTTCTGAATCAGACATGATCCAAATACACATCAGGAACTCACTGATAGGCATATAATTTTCATTCTAAACAATATACCTGGTGGGTATTAGAATGACAAAAACTTGATATGTATGAACCGATATTTAAAACCAGTTCTTCTGCCTGCTTTAGTGAGGTTCCTCTTTACAAAGTGTATATATATATATATAGATTGATGGGTTTTTTTTGGTTCCTTTAGATTGTTGAAGATCTCAATCTGGTGATAAGCATACAGAGGAAATTCAGCTACATACAGAGCATACCAGGCATCTATGCCATTCAGAGACCATACCAATTCCAACCCATTCAATATCCATACACCTTCAAACCCATCAACAACCACACCACATTTGAATCCCATGATGACAAGTGCCACTACTTAACCGGAACAAAGAGATTACTCTACGGCGGCAAACAGGAGGAGGAGCCACCTCTCAAATCCCTCAACCTAGGCTACAACACTTCCACCACTTCAGGCGGCGGAGCACCACCACAACCACCACCACCCCACTACAAAAAGCAATAGCATCTTTTTGTTTCTTTTTAAAATTTCTATGTGCCTCATAAGTTTGGAGATTTCCAACCAAGTGATCCGGCTTGAGGTTGTCAACATCTTGAGCCTCCTCAATAGCCGTAACTTTTGGTTAGAACCGATCGGGCAAGGATCTCAAATTTTTTCCCACAACTTTGG